CTTTTACTTGTTGTTAAACAAATGTTTAAACAATTCTATTCAATGAATCTAAAGATGAATTTGATTCAGTCAAACTATCCAGTTAGTAAACTGAAGCTAAAGATAAATTTGATCCAGTCAAGCTATCCAATTAGTAAACTGAAGCTAAAGATTAGATGTAGAAGTTAAGTAGGGGAAATTCAACTTAATTTTTCAACTTATACACAAAGCAAAGTTACCACACTAAAGAACTCATGACAACAGTAACAGTTATTTTGCACAAAATAGATTTATTTATTTAAGGCATTGAATATCAGGTTATAATTTAAATTTTAACTCAACCACATGGAATAATGTTGTTTTACTACAACTGTGTTAAAAATCAGTTTTTTTAGAAACAGTAGGTCTTTCACTAATCATTAAGAAGAACTTCTGGGTGAAAGTAAGAAGAGTGTATAATAATATGTCAACTACAGTATATCTGCTATATCCAGTGCTGAGAAGGCCTTTCATCTTATTACCAATGTTCCTCAGCCCAGCTGGGATACTACAGACATAGGAGTTGTTGAGATGCTACTCATATTAAAATGCTTGACAACTATAGGATGTGGATAAGGTGGTGGTGGTGTGTAATTGTTCTTCAGTTGTATTCTTCACAACACATCGGAAATAAAATAGGGATTATTTAACACAATATATTTATTTAGTTTAACACCATATATGTTATCATTTATTATTTTCTTGAGTCAACCTGCTCATTATTTTAAAGAACTTTGAGTATAAGTTTGTATGTAGTCTTGTATACAGGAACTTCCAGGGATTATTTTGAATGTAGGTTGAATGTTATGTGTTTTACTTTTCAGAGTCTTCTATGCAGATGCTTTCAAGCTCTCTAAGTGTTTCGGAGAAGCCTACCATTGATCATCAGCAGGTAAACCATCTGCCACCCTTTAGTGGACAAAATCCTCTTGGTGGATCCACATTAGGGTCTCGAACACACCCTTCACCCAGTCCTCTTCCAACTCCCCCACCTATTGATGATGATGGACATAGATCTAGGTGAGATTTGCTTATAGTTGTGTATTCATAGAGATATGTAGGGTTAGCTTATAGCTGTGTATTCATAGAGATATGTGAGGTTAGCTTATAGTTATATATATTCAGAGATATGTATGTAGGGTTAGCTTATAGTTGTGTATTCATAGTGCTAGTTAAGGTTAGTTTATAGTTCTGTATTCATAGTGCTAGGTGAGATTTGCTTATTGTTCTGTATTTATTGAGATAATTCTGTATTGAGATAATTTTTTCTTCTAGCTATAATATGAAATATTTGGCAAAGAACAAAAAAGCAAAACAAATCATGCGTATGTTGGTAGATGGCTGCCATGTTGTTGATAAGGAATAGCATTTACTTATATATTATTTAAAAGTATGCTTTATGTGCATGATGCCACTATAAACTCATGCAGTATTTTGGAGTAATTTCTTATTACTGACATGGTAATGGTATACTTGGTACACAATTTTCACATTTTTGTGCCAAGATTAAAAGCTATTTTTTCAATTCATCCAGGAATATGAATTAAGATTTTTTACTAAGCATGTGATAAGTTGATAATAGTTACTATTTTGAGCTTCTGTTTTAAGTTACAAAAATAAATGTTTCTGTAGTTTATTTTGCAGTTCCTTATTGTTTCCTTTTAAATTTTTAGGAGGAGAGATCAAAGACTGACAAGGTAGGAATATTTATTAATTGTTTGTAAAACTTGTATAACTAAATGTAATTTTTACTGGTATTAAAACTCAGTGCAAAACATCTAAAGAGCAAGGTTTTAGGAAGCTTAATATTTCTTTTCATGTAATAATTTTACAGTAAATAGATAAAAGATATAAAATAGTCTATAAACTCTGGAAACTGAATGGAATTTTTCTGTGATTTTTGTTAACAGTTTTTGATATGTATAATATTTACTGGAGTAGTGATTGAAAATTCATATGTAAAAATTTATATTGAAGTCCTACCTTTTAAATATTTTATTAAGTTTTTCATTAACTCCTCTTTCATTGTTTAGTAAGTTTTCAACTGTTTTTGTTTCTTCTTTTAATTATGTAAATTTTTGGGAAACTGTTATTTTACTTTCAGAGAGGCAATGAAAAACTACTTGAAAGAAAGAGGGGATATGGTCCTTGTGATTTTACATGCCAAAGTTGCTCAAAAATCATATGGGAATGAAAAAAGGTTTGTATTATTTATTTAAAACATGTTTAAATAATACATAATTGTATTTATGGCCAGTGCAAAGTTCTTGTGAACTTGAGCAAAGTATTTTCAGATTAAAATAAAGAGAAAAATCTAAAATCATTAGAATAAAGAAGGTGATTGTTAGAATTACCAGTATACACATTGAGAATATATACTTACTAGTGTTCACACTATCCCACGTTGAGGATGTATGCTGACTAGTGTTCACACTATCCCACATTGAGGATGTATGCTGACTTGTGTTCACACTACCCAACATAGAGAATGTGTGATTAATATTGTTCTTGTTGCCTAATATTGAGGATGTATGTTTACTATTGTTCAGACTGCTCCAACAATGAGGATGTGCTTACCAGTGTTTAAACTGGCTCAACATTGAGAATGTATGCATAACAATTTTCATACTTGCTCCATTATTAAAGATGTGCTTCCAAATGTAAAAACAAGGCCCCTCAAATTAAGAATATATACATACCAGAGTTTAAACTAGCTGCTCAATGAGAATAATGTATATTAATGTGAGGAGTGGAAAAAAAAATAAGTGTGTATAATTATAATGGTATCTTTTGGACTAATGACAATTTTGAACTTAGTCAGTGTGGACGAGAATACAATGCACATGGATTTTAGTATAATTCAGATATAAAGAGTAATCAGACACTTAGAAAAGTGGTGACATTTTTTTTATTGTCCATTTCACAGACAAAAAAAATTAGTTCAAAATAGAACAAAGACTATTTAGTGAGATATCAATTTTCAATCAATCATTGAATATTTTTATTGAAGATAAAATTAAGTGAAAAATGTGTAATTATTTTATGGAAAAACATC